CAGAACACCACCAGGGTACCGGGGACTTTGCCTGCCACCACTGTTCCGAATCCTCGAGATCCCCACCAGCATCAGCAGCTGGATGCCATTTTTACCAGGAGCGGTAAGGTCATATCTGCTGATCCTGTCCCGGCCAGACAGGAGGAGTCAATGCCTTCTTCAACACCTCCAGCCGACGATGCAGAAGTGCGGGTGGAGAAGGAAGCCCCTGCTCCCAAGCCACAACCAGTGGTTAAGGAGCATGTACCCCAACTTCCCTTCCCCACTCGCCTACACAAAGACAAGCTGGAGACTGAGTTTGCCAAGTTCATGGCAATGTTGAAGCAGCTCAACATCAGCATACCATTCATGGAGGCACTGTCGAAGATGCCCAAGTATGCCAAGTTCATGAAAGATATCTGCACCAATAAGAAGAAACTTGGGGATCTTTCGACAGTGATGCTTAGTGAGGAGTGTTCTGCTATCCTGCAGAACAAGCTGCCCGAGAAGCGCAAGGATCCAGGGAGTTTTACTATCCCTCTTACTATTGGCAGCATGCATGTAGGAAAGTCCTTGGCGGACCTAGGCGCTAGCATTAACGTCATGCCATATAAGTTGTATAAAATGCTAGACCTAGGTGAACTTAGCCCTACTAGGATGAGCATTCAATTAGCTATGATTGATGGTGTTGGTGCATTCACATATCCTGATTGATGGTGTTGGTGCATTCACATATCCTGTTGATGGTGTTGGTGCATTCACATATCCTGTTGAAGGTAGGGAGTTGGTGACTTTAGTCGAGGAACCAACTCACTATTCTGTACCGGATTTACTCCGGTAGTGGAGGTTTTGTTTGTTAAGGCCTCAATCTGTTTACTCTGGTGGAGGTTAGTCGCCCGCTAGAGACTCAGATTGAGAGGGTCTGAAGACCTTTAGTCGAGACTTCAGGCTGTTTAAGAACCTTCCGCAGTATAACTATCATAGAAACTGAACTTGGTAATTACAATCCGGCTTAACTGCAGTCTAGGGGGAACCATATCCGGGTGACCTCTCTTAACCTGAATACAACAGTTTACTTGCTTTGTTAGTTTGATAGTTTAGACTTGCATTCCAGTTTCATTGCTAGATAACAAGAATTCACTGAGTAGTCATCAGATCTAGGACCCGGGTTGATAATTAAACCCAAACCCGCTATACTACGCTTTAGGAAGTGGTTTCACTTGGCCAATTCCTAGGGTGACAGTAGAGTCGAGTCAGTTGTACCATTAGTATAGGTACAATTTTGAGTTGTACCATAGAGGATTTGTTAGAAAGTGTAGGTACAACTTAAAGTTGTACCATGGTATAGGTAGAAGTTTGGGTTGTACCATAAATTTTTTTGAGAAAGTGTAGGTACAACTTTAGGTTGTACCATTAGTATCGATACAATTTTGAGTTGTACCAAAGAAGGATTTGTTAGAAAGTGTAGGTACAACTTAAAGTTGTACTATAGTATAGGTACAAGTTTGAGTTGTACCATAGAGTGATTTGGTTGAAAGTGTAGGTACAATTTAAAGTTGTACCATAGTATATGTACAATTTTTAGTTGTACCATAGAGGATTTGTTAGAAAGTGTAGGTACAACTTAAAGTTCTACCATTAGTATCGGTACAATTTTGAGTTGTACCATAGATGGATTTGTTAGAAAGTGTAGGTACAACTTAAATTTGTACCATAGTATAGGTACAAGTTTGGGTTGTACCATAGACAAATTTTGAGAAAGTGTAGGTACAACTTATGGTTGTACCATTAGTATAGGTACAATTTTGAGTTGTACCATAGAGGATTTGTTAGAAAGTGTAGGTACAACTTTAATTTGTACCATAGTATAGTTACAAGTTTGGGTTGTACCATAGAAAATTTTGATAAAGTGTAGGTACAACTTAAAGTTGTACCATTAGTATCGGTACAATTTTGAGTTGTACCAAAGAAGGATTTGTTAGAAAGTGTAGGTACAACTTAAAGTTGTACCATAGTATAGGTACAAGTTTGACTTGTACCATAGAGGGATTTGTTAGAAAGTGTAGGTACAATTTAAAGTTGTACCATAATATTGGTACAATTTTGAGTTGTACCATAGAGGATTTGTTCGAAAGTGTAGGTACAACTTAAAGTTGTACTATAAGTATCGGTATAATTTTGAGTTGTACCATAGAGGGATTTGTTAGAAAGTGTAGGTACAACTTAAATTTGTACTATAGTATAGGTACAAGTTTGGGTTGTACCATAGACGAATTTTGAGAAAGTGTAGGTACAACTTATGGTTGTACCATTAGTATAGGTACAATTTTGAGTTGTACCATAGAGGATTTGTTAGAAAGTGTAGGTACAACTTAAAGTTGTACCATAGTATAGGTACATGTTTGGGTTGTACCATAGAAGGATTTTTAGAAAGTGTAGGTACAACATAAGGTTGTACCATAAAAATAGGTATAATTTTGAGTTGTACCATAGAGGGATTTGTTAGATATTGTAGGTACAACATTAAGTTGTACCATAGTGTATAGGTACAATTGTGAATTGTACCATAGAAATTTTTTGGAAAAGTGTAGGTACAACTTTAAGATTAGTGTAAAGGTACAACTCTAGAAAGTGTAGGTACATCTTAATTCCACAACCGTTATTTTGACTGAATGAGCTGTGAGAACGTTTGAGTGGCAGTTGTGTTTTTCAATTTCACGTGAGATTTTGACGGGCATGAGAATGTCTAGTAGTAGCCGTGAAATTTCTTGGGATAGTGAGAACTGCTCTTTGCATCTCACGACAGTGAGATTTTCCTGAGGAATGAAGCACTGCTTTTTACATCTCACTTGAGTATTTTACGGTCGTGAGATTACTAGTATGAGATGTCAGATTTCTAGTAGGAGACTTTCACCTGTTGAACTATCCCCTGTACTTATTATAATGGTGTTTAAAACATAATGGACTTTTTTCCAGAACTTCAAACTTATGAAAAAGATGATTCATAATGTTCTCTAAAGCTTGCCATCAGTATTACATATATCCATTCACAATGTTCTCTAGTAACAGTACATCATATCACATGAAATACCTTGTTAACAAAAAGTGAAAAGCAGTCAAAGCATTACATTTGTCTAATAAAACAAGCATCCATAACACGGTTAAACCTGTCTAATTAAAGATTAAGTTTAGCTGCATGTAGCCCACACCGGTGCATCATCATATTCTAATTGGAAAACACACAAGCACAAACGCAAACACACATAGCTAAGTACTAAGGACTAAATAGTGCAATAAGTTTTTTTGGTTGGCTCATCTTCATTGCCCCTCTTCCTCGTCAGTGCTCTCATCATCCTTAGTGTGCTCGTCATCCTCTTTACTACCCTTTTCATTGTTGGCGCCCTTGTCCTCCTCATTGTTTTCCTGGATTGGCTCACTTTCACTGCCCTCGTTAGAGTCACTGCCCTCTTCCTCATTGGTACCTTTGTCCTCTTGATTGCTTCCCTTTGTCCACTTCACATATATGCATTTCATATCATATATTGCAGCTGGTATTCAAAGCCAGTATTCAAATTGTACTGTAAGCATGGAAGTAAACTAATGCAAGAACATGAACAAAGAACACGTATACATGTCGTCAAACATACAGAGATTCAATGTACCATTGAAGTAAACTAATCCACCTGAGAAGTAACAATTGAACCATGATAAATAGCTATATCAAATCACTTGTCTCGAATGAACAAAGAACCTCCATATGGAGACAACACACACTTGTCTGTAATATAGTAATGAACTTCTCTCGCCATTTCTACTCGAACGCTCCTAAACACACTTCTTGTATATACTATAGAGGCATGTCTTTCAATTTCATGTAAATATGTCATCAGAACTACATCAGTATGTATTGTCTTAATCTTGTCATGTAACTCAGTTTGTCTTCTATACAAAATTGTCATGTCAAACTACTTGACAAACTCAAACAACTTTGTCTTACTCTGCAAGAATTTGTCTAGATAAGAATTCATGCTCTCGCAACGTTGAGACGTAGTCATCCCAGCAAAGAAAGTACCTTTCAGCTAAGTTGTTGTCCATAAAGCTCGTCGCCTATACATCTTCTTCATCCACGCATTGTGCTCTAGATCATACTTGGACAAAATTTTCTGATTTTCTACTTACAACAGAAAAGAACCAACAAAATGAAGTTTAGAGACAATTAAAATCCACATATTCACCACCCACAACCACCGAATCCAACAGTACATTAATCAATTGTATCGACCTAGAAATCAGTTATTCCCCCAATACCCAATTCAGGGTGCTCAATGAAATCTACCTACATGTCAACAAATTGTATAGACCTAGAAATCAACAATCTGATGCAAGCCTACAGAAGCTAGAGTAGACATGGAAGAATGGTTTTGGTCTTCGCCCTCAACAGCCATGGAGGACTATTTAAGCATAGGATCATCTACCAGCAATAGTTGAAGGTACAACTTAGCACAACGGCAGTAAAGGGGAACAACTTAACATTCAACAATCAATAGGAGAACATACATAAACAGGAGAATGCTAGCTTATTCTTGGCTAGCAGAGAGAAGAACAGACACGGAACAAGGCTACAACGAGAAAGCCCTGTATAAGTCCAAGTTATGGATGCCCTCGCAGCAGGGCTACTCAAGAAACACCAACCCTTCTAGAGCACTGAAATCGGAAGGAAACCCAAAATATCCTACCAAACCTCAACACCAATCCGTCCCTTACGAGTCACAAAACAGAGCAGGCGCAAAAATTATACCCTCTTTCGCCGCCGCTGCCGTGGTACGCTAACTCCGTCCTTGCTTCTAGATGGAGCGAATCGAGCAGCAGCAGCATGGGTTAGGAAGGGAGGGGGCGCCAATTGCCAAACGACACACCCTTGAATAGCTGAGCGAGCAGTACGACCTTTTTCTTTAATATGGTCCTAGCGCATCTGCGTTGAGCTACGCAGGAGGCGGCGGAGGATATGGGTGGGATGGAGGATGGCTTTGGTGGAGAAGGGGTTGGGACAAGTGGCGGCAAAGGTGAACCGAGCGCTGGATGGGAAGGCGGGGGAGGAGCTGATTGAAGCGCTGGAGACTTGGATCGAGAACCCCCATATCTCGGTGATGGGGGTGGCGACAAAGGGAATGTTGTGGTTGGGTAGCTCGCCGAGGTACGACTTTTACGGGAATTTATGGTCGCTGTATCCAACCCAAAATTAGAACGATTAAACCAAAAAATGTAATCAGACAATCACTTAGCCATATACCCTAAACCCAATCTCACTTTGGTTGACAATTAGATGGTTCAACCCAAACCGTAGTCAAAAGATCACTCAATCATATACCGTAAACCAATCCCACATCGGTTAACAATTAGATGGGTTAAACCCAAAACTGTAATCAGACGGTCGCTCAACCATATACCCTAAACTCAATCTCACATTGGTTGATAATTAGATGGGTTCAGCCCAAACTGTAATCAAAAGCTCACTCAATCATATACCGTAAACCAACCCCATATCGATTTATAATTAGAACGGCTAAACTCAAAACCTTAATCAAACAGTCACTCAACCATATACCTAAACTCAATCTCACATCGGTTGACAATTAGATGGGTTAAACCCAAAACCGTAATCAAACGGTCACTCAACCATATACCCTAAACTCAATCTCACATCGGTTGACAATTAGACGGGTTAAACCCAAAACAAAAAAGTCACTCAGCCATATACCCTAAACCCAATCTCACATTGGTTGACAATTAGATGGGTTAAACCCAAAACCGTAATCAGACGGTCATTCAGCCATATACTATAAACCCAATCTCACATAGGTTGACAATTAGATGGGTTCAACCCAAACCGTAATCCAAAAGCTCACTCAATCATATACCGTAAACCAACCCCGCATCGGTTAAAAAATAGACAGGTTAAACCCAAAACTGTAATCAAATGGTCACCCAACCATATACCCTAAACTCAATCTCATATCGGTTGACAATTAGATGGGTTAAACCCAAAACTGTAATCAAACAGTCACTCAACCAAATACCCTAAACTCAATCTCACATTGGTTGACAATTAGAATGATTAAACCCAAAACCGTAATCAGATGGTCACTCGGCCATATATCCTAAACCCAATCTCACATTGGTTGACAATTAGATGGGTTAAACCCAAAACCTAATCAGGCAGTCATTCAACCATATACCCTAAACCCAATCTCACATTGGTTGACAATTAGATGGGTTCAACCCAAACCGTAATCAAAAGCTCACTCAATCATATAACGTAAACCAACCCATAACCATAAAGAGACAGTCACTCAACCTTAAAGGTAAATTATTAATTTATTTTAATGCTAAACTGACTATGAATGTACCAAATAAATTGGTGCATTCCGAGTGGTTAAGGATGCTATTTAGAGGGCCAATGGCGCTGGTTCGATCCTCACAAAAGTTTTTTCCTACAATTAATTCATGACCCAATCTCACGGGCGGGTGATACCATTAACTAGGTCGTGAGAACTTCTGGAGACAAGGGATCATTTAATCTTTACCCGGGACTAATCTCACGGCCGGGAGAATATCCAACACAGGGCGTGAGAACTCCAGGAGGAGTGCTGCGGGAACAATTTCTTCTTTCACGGTTGCTCTAACGACCGTGAGGTTCCCAACCCTGAAACTTCCAGAATCTACTGTGAAAATGGAAACATTCAATATTACACCATTATTTTATATAAGATCATTCATAACTTATTCACTGTCGACACATTAACAAAAATACCGAGAAAAGAGAACATCACCGAATACTTCTTCATTCATAACTTCATTTTAATTTCTACATATTCCTGAACTTCATTCAACATCTACATTCACTAACACAAAAGCAGAACTGGCTTCATTCAACATCTACATTTTCCTAAAGAATCCACATTAAGTAACATCTACATTAACTTCTTCACTGTCGACACATGAACCTAAAGAAGCACAACTCTCAATACTTATTAGACTTTCTACCCTTTTTCTCCCCATGCGCGTGCAATGGTTTTGACCTTGATTAAGTAAGTTCTTCTTGAATTTCACCTTCTTAGTCGCAATTCGGGCATCTTCACTGCCCCTCTTCCTTGTTAGTGCACTTGTCCTCTTCATTGCCTTTTTTGGTTGGCAAGTGAGCCTACGAAGCCAGCTTCACCAGTCACAAGGCCATGAGTAACTCCTTGTTCAAACAATGAGGACTGGCAGAAAAGAAATAAGGAAATGACCGAAATGATAAACAACAATATAAAATTATGCAATAAACTATGGCCGAAATGACAAATAGACAGAGACAACAAACAACAATAATGTGTTTCCTCTTCTCATCCTACTGTTTTGATCCAACCAAAAATCAAATCTCATATCAATGCAAGTCAAAGCGCTAGAGATGAAAAACTTAACTCCAATATGACAACATACTGCCCATATTTGGAGTTTCGCGTTAGTTTTAACTCTTAAGAAAGTAGACAGATCCTCTAAGATAACCCCATTGGTGAAAACATACCAACTTAAGCTACAAAGACTATCAAAGCTGGACACCATCAATGGAAATCCAAAATACTGTCGTGGGGATGAATAACAACTCTGGTGTTGTACCTTGAATCAAAATCAATAGCTACCTCAATCAGAAAACCAATAGAAACCCCCTGAAGCACTCAAGCTGCCATTAAAAGGGAACCCTCTTTTGCTATTCAATAAACAAAAACCATAGCGTTAACAAAAACTGACAGATATTAGTTTATGAGATTTAGGTTGTGATGAGACATGTTGCCTAGATCTGACGAGTTCTTGCTCTAACTGAACCACCTTCAAACACTTTGTTTCTAGTTGCTGCACATATTCCTAAGGAACAACCACAACCAAAACCCTTGGCATAGCTCCCTTTTTAAGTAGTGGACCTTATACCACGTAACAACCAAATAACTATTAACAAACGCAAATAAGATTTGACAGAATTCAACAAAAGAAGAGTGTGTTCAGAGAACTCTTTGTTTATAATTATGCAAATCCTTTGGGAGCAAATGTATAAAAAAGCCAATCCTAAAACTCATTTCCATTTTAGAGGCATAATTCATGTCGATTGAACTAGCATTACCAATTCCATCAACGAACTTCAGAATCCAGAGTAGTAATGTTGCAGCACCCAAAACAATCTTGTATACTTCTGAACCTTCAGAAGAAAAACAAAACAAGTCTAATTACATTGGTCTTAAGAAGATCATAATTACGTTGGTCTATGTAGATACCTTCAGAAACTAAACTGTGAAACTATAACCTGTTAACCCTTCATAAACTAAAGAAGTTCAATAGATAATAAAAACAAATATTTAAAAGCTACTCGTTAGACAATAACATAAAACTCTGCAAAGAGAAAAGTACCAAAGCTATAAGAGAATAGAAAGTACAATTTCATTAGCTCCCTAGAAGTCACTCAAACTACAATTTTGACACATGAAACTAAAAAAGAGAACAAACAAATCACGCATGCTTACCAAAATTCCAAGGTCGATATCTTTGTGTTGGAACTTTTCAATTAAAGGGTGGTTCTGGGGAGAAGAAAAAAGGTCAAACTATAAGCTGTTGTCCGGAGAAATGAGACTTGAAACAAATGAATTTGTAACACTCACCAACAGGTCCAATGACGACGATCTTTCTCGAGGGTTCTTTTGTATGCTGTAGAAATCACAGGCAATAGTGAGTAACAATCCAAACTAGCTAGTATTAAAAGTTTGGAATAATCAGGTATTACTTGTCCTTTTCCTTTTTCTCAACTTTGTAAGGGAGTAGGGAATCCACAGAATAAAGGAAACTGTGGCTTGGGTTGGGTTCTTGAGGTGTGGAGTTATGGATATCCTTATCACGTTGATAAGAATGGACATAATTCAGGAGAGAATGATATCAATTGATGGATGTCCCCTGCTCATAAATTGCTTTATCCCTGAATCTTTTCACAAACTATTACCTTCCAGGAAGTTAGAAGCCTTCTAATATAATTGGGGCGGATGAAGGTAAGGTTCACTCTTGCTTCCGGGCATTCCATCAGGCATTGAGAGAACCTCTGTTCCCCCAACAGAATAAACAATCAGTGGAGTCCCAATGCTCAAAAAATCGAAGGAGGAAGAAGAGAAATAAAAAAGTACTGTCTATTTTGCCAGAAGAACCCTAGAAATCCCAGTAGAAGAAACCAAAGTGTGAATTTCAATCCCAGCAGCACAAAACAAAAGTATAAAGCTAAAGAAGCATGGAATTTCAATCCCAAATCCCCTGCTCCACAGAAACATGTTCATAAACCTAAAACGAGCATGGAATTTCAATCCCGCTACATAAATTTGTAAATCTAGAACATCCCAATTTTTCAAACTTTGAAATCCTAGAATTCGAATTTTGAATAAAATTTTAGAAACATAGGCATACTACCCGGAAAATGCAAGATGAGAAAGTTGAAGAGAATCAGAACGGAACGGAAAATTTCAATCCCCTGCTCGCCGCCTTCACTGTCGCCGTCAAAGTCTGGCTCGCCGCAGTTGAAGAGAATCGGAACGGTAGCCGCAGGCGAAGAGAATTGGAACGGAGAAGCTCAACCCTTTCCCTATTTCGATTTGATTTTTTTAATATTATCAAACTTGTCAACCGGTGCAACAAGTAACCAATACCAAAATAAATAAAAAATTAATTAATTCAACAAGATCCAATGATTCACAAGATTTAATAAAATCCAATGGCTATAAACGTATTAAAGCATCAATGCTGTAGAGCATAATAAAATGCCTCTTATGTGTAGGTCTGTGTTCCCGTGCATGATGAGAAAGTTCACTGGTTTTTGTCTATAATTATTATAGACAAGAAAGAAGTTCATATTTTGGATTCATATCCATCTCAAGAGCGCAATATAATCCGTCGCCAAGCAGTAATGACTATGGTACACTTCTCAAATTGTGTGGTCCGAACGCAACATCATATATCTAAACTAAATATGTGTGTGCTTGTATCTAATTACAAATACTTCCTAACTTTTGCAGATAGCATATTTGGACGACTTGTTTTAGGCTCAATATCGTCAAGTCTATCAAACATTGGACGAACCAAGTATTAAAGAGTTTTCCGTCGAAACTCCTTCAATTGATCAAGAACAATTACACGAGTAAGAATACGTCCTTATGCGTAATTTTGATTGGTGGATTATAAACCAGTTTCTCATGTGAGGCATTTAATTTTATGTAGATATGATAGCGGGGTTTGGGTCTGCATATGGATGATGCCTGCAACTTGGGATTCCTATTTATTTGGGTAAGAAACAATTGTGGTTCTATTTACCAATTACCACATTTTCAAATATTAGTCTCACTCGTATTCTTTTTGTACGATACAACCATGCTGTGAAATGAGGAGGATGCAAATATCATTGTACCTTGTTGGAGATCCAATGAATTATATAAGGCATAAGGTGTGGAAGGAGGCAAACAAAATTGCACCTAAACTTGCAGCTTTTACTCGTGAGTACAAGGAAGCCAATGCAAAACGGCTGTACAAGGACTAGAAGACCATGGGAGGAGATCCTGATTTCTGTATTAATATTTTGTTTTATCTTCATACTTTCAATTCGGTTTTGGAACATCTAGATGCATTGAATATTTTTCTCTGATCGAAATTACTTTGAATAATGAGTGTGCCATTTTATTCGGTTCAAAGTTATGGATTTTTTTTATAACTAGTTATAGATTTATTAATTGCTTATTGTTTGGGATTTATATATACCAAATCAATAGCGGGCTAGCCCAAAATGAAAGGCCCAACATTAGGTGATAGGTCGGCGAGATCAAGAATATAGAGAAAGGAAATTGTAAATCCGGGAACTAACGGATCTGGTAAGCTCAAAATAAATAACGCTTCTTAAAAGTTACAACAACCCAGTTCACAGTTTTGAATATTTGTTTCGACTTCCAGACTTCTTGCACGACTGTACCTGCCAAAAACAATTAAGCAGGGTGAGTATTTCTATTTGACCCTACAATCCTGTCTTTTTGGAGAAGCTATAGGTAGTTTCAAATTAAATCCGAGCCATGAACAACATCTGCATAACTTGACCACGAATACGACACTTACAATGAAAACTTGGTGACCAACCGTTAGTACAACATTTAAATGCCTTTCTTGATGAAAAAACATCCAAATGGCGTACTAATTTCACAACAATCAACACTTCGTCCCTGATATCAATTCATTCCAGTCATCAACTTTTGAAGTTACAAACACGGGTTTGGTGTGGCTTCTAGGACAATGCCAAACTTTGGCACTAGACAGAAGGTTCCAAACTTAACGTTTTGAACAAAATTTCCAACCGAAATGAACACTCAACAAGGACTGTCGAGAGTAATAACCCTTCTATGCCATTTGGATGTTTTTCCTCCATTAGGCGTCGACATATTATATACCTGATCCCAAGAACTCATAACAGTGAATGCTATATTACACCGGCCAAATTGCATAAACTTGTACACAACACAGATTCATAACGAAACTAAATAGCTAGACACAATAAGATGAACTGTATTGTACGGTAGTATGGAAATAATCACCCTGCTAAGTACTAGGCAGTACCTTTGGAGGAATGATCGCCTCAGCAGTTTGGGAATCTCGGCCAGGGAAGATGTTTGTGGGATCTCGTAACAAAAAAACAAAAACACAATTAGTGAAGGCAGAAAATTGTTGACCAAAGTTGAATGACAAGGGAATGAAGGATAGGCTGAGTGTGTAGATGTGTTACGCGTAATGAGAAAAACATCTAGATGGCTAAGGAGTTTAACATCTATACATGGTAAACTCACAATGTTGATTGAATGAATCGCAAACTCCCTAGTCATCTGAAGTTCTTCTCATTACTGTAATGATATTAGGTTGGAGACAGAAATGGATGGCATTTCAAACTTTTGTGCTTTTGTAGACAAAGTGGAGTGAGGTTATATTGAATGTAAATAGGAGAGAAGGCCTAGAAAGAGAGACTGGATGCTAAGATGATGAGTGGAGTGCGGTTTATATAGAATGTAAATAGGAGATAAGGCCCAGGAAAGAGAGATCGGATGGTAAGATGATGATAAAATTTTCGCATGGGTTGGCCAATGGTAAGGGCGGTGAAAAGGGATAGGGTTACTAATGGGATAGAAGTTCTGAATCGCTAAATGTCGCCCTAAGAATTGCTAAAGGTCGCCCTAACTTAAATGTAAAATTACTTATATACCCTTATGCAAAAACTCAAAATTGGCTTAAACAAACAAGCCCTTAGCAATTCAAATTCATTCTCCTCCCCCCTCAACTCCTCTCACCCGCGCGACTCCTCTCTCGCCGCCGCCGACCTATCGCCCCCACCGACCTATCTCGCCGCCGCCGAAACTTCTCGCCGATCTCGCCCGCACGGCCAGTCGCCGCCGATCATCCCGCCGCCATATCGCCAGTCGGCGCTCGCGTCCAGTCGCGTTGTCACCGCCAGTCGCCGCTCGCGTCGTCACCGGCCGTCTCCCGTCGCGCCGTCGCCGCTCGCGTCGTCACCGGAGAAGACGCCCGTCGCCGCTCCCGTCGTCACCGGAGAAGGTACCGAACTGGCCCCGCGGTTTGACCGACGGCTGACCGCGGTCAACGCGCGGTTGAACCGACGGTCAACCGCGGTCAACGTGCGGTTGAGCCAACGGCTGACCGCGGTCAAAGGGCGATTGACCGATGGTCAAACCGCGCTTTGACCGCGGTCAGCCGTTGGTTCAACCGCACGTTGACCGCGGTCGGCCCGTTTTTTTTTAATTCTGTTTTTTAACATTCTGTGTTTTTATTATTCGTTATATAAATGTTAATAATAATAAAAAAATTAAAAAATATACTTAATAAAAATAATTAGTTATATTATTGATAAATGTTAATTTAGTTATAATGATAATTAATGATAACGTATTCGATAAATGTTAATTTAGTACTAATGTTAATATAGTTATAATTTAGTTATATGATATAAAAATTTTAAAAACGTATTCGATAAATGTTAATTAATGATAACAAATTTAGAACATTAGAAAAAATTAAAAATGTATTTTTATCATTTTAATAGTCAAAATTTCAAATTAGTTCGTTTATCTACTTAATTATTAATAATTTTACCTTGATTAATTATATACTTAAAAGTAAATAATTATTACATAAAACGTAACATAAATGTTCAAACTATTAGTTTTATAATTTTATTTATGAAAATCTTAAATTAATTACTTTATGTTCTCCATTATTAATAATCCATTATTAATAATTCAAACTTTTTTTTTGAAGATGTCTGGACATGGAATGGGTAAACCGGATATGATTAAGGCGAGAAATAAGGAGAGAATGGAAGGTCATCAGTGTAGACTTACGGCGACTGGTAGGAAAGAAAATGAAGAAAAAAAATCCACCTAAGGTTAGAAGGAAGAAGAAGAAAGCGGATGTAGTGCGTCCTGACGGCCACCCTACTGTGGGGCAGTTGTCTCTTAGTCGAGGTACTACCAGTACTCCTACACCAGAGAGCGCACCGGTATGGGAGGCTAATTGGAGTGATTCCATTGACGAGGATGATGATGATGACGGTGATGCTGAGGTTGGGAATGCCCCAGATGCTGGTGATGCTGCTGGTGATGCTGAGGTTGGGGATGCCCCACCTCAAGCTGATTTAGGCATGGGGAAGACGGCGCGGGTCGGGATATCTTCTACTGCCTCCTCACACTTCCGTGGGCCTGATGGACGCTATGCGTCCAGAACTAGTAGCGAGGAAGGCTGAGATGGAAATAGGAAGAGGAAGACCACGAGGAAAGATATGTCGTGGCTTCTTACATCCGAGTCTCCGATGTGTTCTGGTGGACCGGTGATTCCCGATGTGATCCCTAGCTTTGGAGGTCACATTGGTTTTGTACTGTGGACTTCCCCTTAGCAGGACCGTGGAGTGTTGGACGGCTTCCATAGGTCGAAAGCTGTAGAGACTTTGAGGCGATATAAGTGGAGTGCAGAGGGTTCCAAGGAGATGGTTGAAGCCACAAGATTGTCTCACTTGACAGGGTGCATGATGCAGCATTTAGACATGGCTCTACTGTCGGCATTTGTTGAGAGGTGGCAGCCGGACACAAACACCTTCCACATGTCGTTTGGAGAGATTTCGATCCTTCTACACGATGTGCATCACATTCTTCGTATTCCGGTTGATGGAGAGCTGATGGTAGATGAGGCGTCGCCGGATATTCTTAAGTCAGACATGGGTGGTCTAGTTCGACTTTCGGTGGATGCTCATGTAGGTGGTAAGTGGAAGTCTAAGTGGTACGATAATGGTGCTATGCATGCAGAGGGATTGTTGGTGCGTGGGGGAGAGCTGAAGATTAGGGAGATGGAGGTGCAGTGTTACCTATTTGTGTTACTGGGATCCACGCTTTTGTGGATAAGACTCGTGATCGCCTTTGTCCTGCGATCAACTTGTTTCTGAAGGATCATCGACGATTGAGTGATTACGCTTGGGGAGCTGGTGCACTAGCCTATCTCTACAGACATTTGGGAGTGGCCACACGAGCGGGTAGTAAGGGTATTTGTGGTTGTTTGACCCTGCTTCAGGCTTGGATATATGAGTACTTTCCTCTATTCCGTCCGAGCCAGCTGCCGCAGTCTCCGGATGCACCTCGTGCTTCCTCATGGATTTCTCCCCGTTTGCCAGGTGTGGATGATGCTAGACAGAGGTTAGCACATTATCGACAGTTGTTGGATGATCTTTCAGCTGATGATGTGACCTGGACTCCGTACGGACGAGATGGCCACACATATATACCTCGCTCCTTGTTTACTGGCCCCATTCGCTTTTCTGACATTGCTGAGAGATACGATTCTGCACGTTGTCTGCGCCAGTTTGGATACCGACAGATTATCCCCCGTGCTATGATGGTACCACATGACCAGTACCGTCCGGCTTCCGGCATCAGTTACATAGTCTTTTGGGATCAGTGGGTGAATCAGTTGTGGGATAACGTGGCAGCCCATCGTCTAGATTTGAATTTTGCTTCTCGGTCGTGCGAGCACCCATCGGAGATCGTGGAGGAGTACGTTGACTGGTTTCTGACTAGATCGCACCCACGGATCACCCACCCCACTGATGGGGTGCCTCAGCCTCGACCACTACTAGTTCATCATGTTAGTTATGACTTTCTTTTGCTTTTCCAAATATAAAGTACATTTGTTATTTATTCTAACATTGTTTTCTATTTACAGTTGAGAGAGCAGATTGTGGATCGTTTAGGTCCCGTGTTGCTGACGAGGGACCAGAGTAAGTGGGAGGAGGACGTTGGTAAGTTCTATGATATGGTAGCTGGGGTTTTCGAGTTCTACGACCAGTTGATAGGGCAGCCGCCTCAGTAGATGATTGTGTTTTTTATTTGTCATCGTTTGTAGTTGAACTGAGACTATTGTGATTTTTATTTGTCATCGTTTGTAGTTGAACTGAGACTATTGTGTTTTTTTATTCGTCATCGTTTGTAGTTGAATTGAGACGGTTGTGTTTTTTTACAATAGAGACATTCAATGCATTGCTAAAATAGTTAATCAACATGGTAGATTACTAAATGTTTCAACAGTAGAGAGTTATACAATTCGTAAATATACTTCCAATCGTCATCCCCGTGGGTTCAAACTATCATAAAGCGCACGCTCATGTAAGAAGAATTGATCCCACCCATTGACACCAGGGTCATGAAGAATAGGCCAAAGGCCACTAATTGGAGGCATGGGCACTTGACCATGTCGAAAGTCAAGTCGCACCCAATGATCCCCCGTAAAATGTAGTGATAAGATCCCACATGGTCTTGTTACTCCTGGTGGGGCCGTCACAGGTAGCACGGTATAACGACCGCCTTGACTGTATACAACGATAGCCCATGAATGCAAGGTGGCGAAGACGAAGAGTTACGCATTATCCATCCAGTTCGGAGGTCCACAGCCACTTGTTGATGCCCACCTGCGACGTCGAATGCCATTTTCTATTCCATTTGCTATTCCATCATAGTAGTCTCTATAAAGGTCTGAACGGGATTCAAGCTCCTCTACAACAGCGCGTTTCATTTGTGGCCAATTCCTTTGGTCCCCAGTAATTGCTTGTGATATAGCTCGAAATCCACAGTGTCCATCTGGAATAGGGTTGAACCAACCATGAACTAGTCGTTGCACGTAGGATTCCAAACAATGTAGCCATGGGTAATTCTTCCAACTAGTATTGGGAATCCGAGCAACCCTCCACGGGGCACCATCTAGCCAAAGAGCATAACACAATAAATTAATATAAAGAGTTATACAATATGTTTACGCGAAATTAGGAATATAATTTCTAACCTGTATCATTATGGATCACCGGCTCCGTCCCATTCTCGAAGTTGGTTTGTGCATTCACATTTGGGGCACCATCTAGACAATATGTTTACCCGAAATTAGGAATATAATTTCTAACCTGTATCACTATATTGAGGACAATTGAACACAATTAATAGAAAAAGTTAATCTACCTGTATTTCCATCATTGTCCGGAGTTGCAGTCGGAAGTCTTGAACTTCTCCTCCCTCGTTTCCTCTCCACATGCTCGAAGTGAGATAGGTTTCGAGTGGTGGACGTCCTTGGGCGACCGGGGCGGGGCTGTCCCCCATGCGGTTCATCAATGCCATCATTTTCAGGATGAAGATGGCTCCAGAGTAGGCCGATTGCACCTCGAATGGTCTCGTCGCCTCTATCAAGAACCTCCTGTACTAGACCTTGGAACACACCACGGTGGTAATCACTATGGTCATCCCACTCCGGCCGAGTAGGAGGTTCACGATAGTTGATAACGGTCCAGAATGGCAACACATCATACAAGGCGAAATCCCGATTTTCATGTCGTGCTAACTGAGTGGAACATCTACATGGGAGACCATAGGTAGGAGGAAACGTACATGAACAAGGTTCCCCTTCCACTGCTACCTCGAACAACATCAACCTCAGAGCTTCTAGAGTGACTTTCGTATTCAACTCTCGAAATGGTTTTTCATCCGCTCAGAGCAGCTTCTTTTGTCGGGAATCCTCTAGAAGCTTCCTGATTTAAAGGTGTTGAGCCTCAATGTAATCATCGTTCTTCTTGAATACCTACAGACAATGAAGAACAATTAGGAGACTACTAAAACTTATGTGTGTATCAATGAAGATTTATTAGGAGACTAACCGTGTCGACTGCGCCAGTAGATGATTGAAGCCACTTCTTGAAGGAGAAATGGGCAGCTTCAACCCTATTAGAGCTTGTGTTACCCAAATTCCGCACTTGATTGGTATAACATTTAGCCCACATGTGTCTAATTGGTAACCACTCAGCTGCCATATACCCCCAAAGACGTCGCTACTGTACTCCCCAACTACGTCTGAAATTGTCTAAGGTAGTATCCATGTCTTCCACTGTCAATGCATATACAGCACGTTGCCAAGACGCCATGATATGATCCACTGTCGGTTTGGCTGCATCTATACCACAATGAGTCGTCCTTCGCACTTCGCTAGAAACTTTGCTCTCACATTCCTATCTATATGCCAAAGACAATATATGATTCGATGATGGTAACATTACTCCCACGGTCTCAACCAATCCTCCTGCCTTGTCACTGACAAACACATCTGGAACAATGGGGCCAAGAATATGTTGCAAATGCGTCAGAAGCCACTAGTACGACTCCTTCATCTCGTCGTACACTATTGCAGATGCAATGACAAAGTTCAATCCCACTAGTGTCATGCCGACAATCTCAACCCAAGGCATATTGACTCACTTCTACTGTCACTCCAGGAATTGGCCAAGTGAAACCACTTCCTAAAGCGTAGTATAGCGGGTTTGGGTTTAATTATCAACCCGGGTCCTAGATTTGATGACTACTCAGTGAATTCTTGTTATCTAGCAATGAAACTGGAATGCAAGTCTAAACTAACAAACTAACAAAGCAAGTAAACTGTTCTATTTAGGTTAAGAGAGGTCACCCGGATATGGTTCCCCCTAGACTGCAGTTAAGCCGGATTGTAATTACCAAGTTCAGTTTCTATGATAGTTATACTGCGGAAGGTTCTCAAACAGCCTGAAGTCTCAACTAAAGGTCTTCAGACCCTCTCAAGCTGAGTCTCTAGCGGGCGACTAACCTCCACCGGAGTAAACAGATTGAGGCCTTAACAAACAAAACCTCCACTACTGGAGTAAATCCGGTACAGAATAGTGAGTTGGTTCCTCTACTAAAGTCACCAACTCCCTACCTTCAATCAAGGATACTCTATTAATCTAGGAAGATATTCTCATTCTAGGTTAAAGCAGAAACAACAGGAATTTGATCAGGATTCAAGTCATTCAATCATTCAAACCTCAATCGAATATAATCAAATCATAGAATCAGTACTTGGGTTCATACAATCAAACCTAACATACAAATCTAGGGTTCTCCATACCCAGATGAATGGGAGAACTACTCCATGGAAAAAGAAGCAAAAGCAGAATCAGACGCGGAATTCATACTGTGGAGGATGGATTCCTGCTCCTGGACGTTGATCGGCACTTCTCCAAGCTCAAGCTGGCCTCCAATGGTGTTGAAGATCAATCTAGGGCACTTGGAGACTCTTGTTCATCGCTTTCTCTCTCTAGGAATCGCTCCCTCTCTCAAAAACTCGAATCCCCCCAACTTGTGGCTGAAAATCTGCTTAAAAGGAGAAAATCCCGACTCACACGGCCAGGGTCGCACGGCCAGGGTCGCACGGCCGTGTGGCCCACCAAGTTGCCCGTGCGAGTCAAAACGCACCGTATCAATTAGTTCGAATTCCAGGCTTCTTACACGGCCAGGGTCGCATGGCCGTGCAGATTTCCAGCCTGCCCGTGTTTGCTCTCGTACAATCCCACACGGCCAAACTGGCCACTTGCACGGCCGTGTGGGTTGTGGGTGTGCCCGTACGACTTCCTTTGTGACTTGTCTCGCGCCCGATCTTCCCCCAATCGACCCCGAACTCGCTCCTAAACCTTCATTCACTTGCCAGGACCTGAAATATCACAAACAAGCACAACCTAGCGTGAAATCGGTCTGAAACACGAGAAACCACATCTCCAACAGTGTAAGAACAAGGGTGAAAACATGTGTAATTAACGGTCTATCAAACTCCCCGACACTTAACCGTTTGCTTGTCCCCAAGCAAACCTAACTCAAACCAATGCGACTCTCCAGACCTCTATAGCAACAAACACCCCAGATCGTAGGTAGAGGACTTCCTAGATCATTTAGCAGCTTACGAGGTCAACCGACGCACAAGTCATCTCATAGCTTCTTCGGCGAGAGCACTAGTATCGAGTCGGCATCATGGCAAATAGTGAACAGAGGACAAATGAATCGTGGATGAAGAGATTTAAAAAATAAAGGATCATGGACTCACATTTTTCAAGGTGCTCTATTTTCTTCTTGAAGATGGTTGGAACCCCTTTTCATTCTGTTTTGCTTGTTTTCTGTTATTTTGTTTCTTTTTTTTTCTTTTTTCAAGGGTCCCAACCTGCTCTTACCGGCCATGCCAGGAGCGGATGTCTCGAGCCTCGTGCGGGGGAAAGACATGTAAGGGGGCTGGAGGTAGTAGGTGGAAATTGGGAACGAATTCCCGTCTCCCCATACACACTTTCGCCCTATTCGCACGGGAGACGTTATTTTGAAGCACATTTTTGAGCACCTGTTAAACTCAAAACATGATACAAGAGTCCATGACAGGTAGAGAATCCACAACACCACACAATTCAAGGGTCCTAAGATCACTAATTCACTCAATCAACCAACACAATATGAAGAAGAAATGAGACTTCTTAAATGCATCAACATCCTCCATAGTGCTACACTACCTCCCTAGGTTGTATATTACTATAAAGACTGTCAATTCAAAGCATACTGAGCAGGCAATTGCAAGGAACACGTACTTGGAGCCCTCAAATTTAAAAATTTGGACAGTGGACTAGGCTCCAAGCACACAAACAGATCTAATGCAGTCAAAAGATAAACATCCCCCCACACTTAAGATCGACATTGCCCTCAATGGAGAAAAGGGAAGGATAAGGGGAACGATGTTACCGGTATGCACGGACTGCAGGGGACTGGAAGTGGACCAGTCAAGCCAAGCACAGCTAAAGGAAACCAAAGAGCTCAAACACAATA